TCGTCTTGTTGCAAAAGGCTTTACACAGAAAGAAGGCATTGACTATAAAGAGACTTTCTCTCCGGTTTCTTCGAAAGACTCTTTTAGGATTATAATGGCACTAGTGGTGCATTTTGATCTTGAGTTACATCAGATGGATGTAAAGACAGCGTTTCTCAATGGCGACATTGATGAGACTATTTATATGGTGCAGCCAGAAAACTTTGAGTCCAAAGACTCAAAGAATATGGTTTGCAAACTTAAGAAATCCATCTATGGACTCAAGCAGGCATCTAGACAATGGTATTTCAAGTTTCATCAAGTGATCATCTCGTTTGGTTTTGAGATGAACTTGGTTGATGATTGTATATACCATAAGTTCTGTGGGAGTAAGTATATATTTCTGGTTTTGTATGTCGATGACATCTTGCTTGCCAGCAACGATATAGGCTTACTGCACGACACCAAGAAATTTCTAGCTAAGTATTTTGAGATGAAAGATCTTGGTGTCGCCTCTTTTGTGTTAGGGATAGAAATACACCGAGATCGCTCTCGGGGTACATTGGGCTTATCACAAAAGGGCTATATCGAAAAGGTTCTCAAAAAAGGTATGGCATGCAAGACTGCAAACCAGGAGATACCCCTGTTGCTAAAGGAGACAAGTTTAGTCTCAAACAGTGCCCTAAGAATGATTTTGAGGAAAAGGAAATACAGAAGATTCCTTATGCTTCGGCAGTAGGAAGTCTAATGTATGCCCAAGTGTGTACGCGTCCGGATATTGCGTACATTGTGGGTGTGCTTGGCAGATATTTGAGTAAGCCGGGGTTAGACCATTGGAAAACAGCCAAAAGGGTCTTGAGGTACTTACAGAAAACAAAGGATTACATGCTCATATATCGGAGGTCGGATCAGCTTGAGATCGTAGGATATACCGACTCTGATTTTGCTGGATGCCAAGATACTATGAAATCTACTTCAGGCTATATTTTTCTGCTCGCTGGAGGAGATGTGTCTTGGAAGAGTGCTAAACAGTCCATTATAGCCTCTTCCACCATGGCTGCAGAATTTATAGCATGTTATGAGGCGTCCAACCATGGAGTATGGCTTCGAAATTTTGTCACGGGGCTGCGCATAGTGGATGGCATTGAAAGACCACTAAAGTTATTTTGTGACAATAAATCGGCTGTGTTGTACTCCAATAACAATAGGAGCTCTTCGAAGTCAAAACATATTGACATCAAGTTCCTAGTTGTTAAAGAACGAGTTCAAAGTGGACAGTTGTCTATTGAACATATCGGAACAAACTCCATGATTGCGGATCCGCTTACTAAGGGGTTGCCACCCAAAACGTTTCATGAGCTTACTGCTCGTATGGGTGTAATGCCTTTGATAGATATTCAGTTTTAGTGGGAGTTTGTAATGTTCTTTGATATAGATACATTTTATGTTACTTCAGTTTTATGGATTTTTTGAGGTTATGCAAAATTTAAGTTTCAGTTATTTCACACTTTGATTATGGAATATGGTTGATCTCACTTAAGTTTAAGGTGGACCAAGTTGGAACAGACATGTGATGATCACATTTCATGTAGTTTCCATGCTACACATCCACATCATAATCCATGTCATTCATTTGTATTGACATTGTGACCATTGATGGTTAAATTGCGATAAATGTAACAAATGCCGCTTTGATCCTATGTTGATATGATTGATGGACCGGATTGGTTAATGATACTTTTGGTTATGACAACAAATTTGAGCTCATAAGGTTACTTAGCAATACATAATTATAAAGTTACACATATAGCCAAAGTGGGAGATTGTTGGATCCTTAATCCAACATTGGGCTAATATGTGAAATAATTATTGTATTGCGGTTGTCAAATAAAGAAGCCCAAATAAAAGTGATCAATTAAGGTTTAAAGTTGTTGGGCTTTAAAGTATCAATAGGGTGTGGGCCTTTAATGTGTAGAAACTAATGAGTCTTCTATTTTAATGATGGGCTAAAATAGAGATGCCCAATGTAACTTAATGTACATAAAAGGGTTGTGGTCCCTAGGTCATACGATATCGACAGATTATCTCTTCTGCATCCCATCGACAGAGAGGTTACGAAGAAAAGCTAAAGGGTTCTCTGAAAAGGTACACGATCGTATAAACCTAGAAGGCCAAATCCCCAAATCAATCACCTATGGATTCAGGTACGCTTCCGCTATTCAGTTTTGATTCTCAATTATTCGATATGAAAGCTCCTGGATTAAAACAATGTATTTCGCATAAAGTTAGTTTCAACACATGAAGCGCACCATGAATGGGAAAAACCCATATGAAGCGCACCATGAACGGGAAAAACTCATATGAAGCTCAAATGGGGTTCCATCCCAAAACCAATTGGTGGAAGGTGGAGTGGCCCATTAGACATATAAGGTGAGTCTATTTTCCATGTATGAACGATGTGGGACAACTCACAAGTGATATTCTAACATCTTGATTTGATTGCTTTATTATCGCCTTGGATGGTGAGAGAGCATAGCGTACTTGCTGATTTTATTTGATTAAGAAACTATAACATTTGTGATAATTGATTTTATGTATCATTTTAAGATCACTCTCTAAACAAATTATATGAATGATGATATTAGAGTTTGTACTATTTGACATTGAAGATAGGTGGACGATCATTAGATGGCGACATGCATCTTGCTTTATTTTGCATATCTAATTAGAGACTCGTTATGCTGCCATTGAAGATAGTCTATGCATGCATGCTTGATTTTTTATTTTATTTTTTTTTTGTTGAGCGTGTAATGTTTTAAAGTTAATAGTATTTGTACAAAAATAGAATTTAATAGTAGTGTATCAGTAATCAAAGTTTTTTTTTTTTTTTTTTTTGTGTTTGTGGTTGGTGGGTTCTGTTTGTAGTTGGTGGGGTTCGTTTTTTTTTAGAAATTAATAAAAAAATATTTATTATTCTTGAGATTGAAAATTTTGAAATATTAATAGTAATATTTTAAAATTTACTTTTATAATTTTTTAATAATTTTAGTTTACAACAAATTTGCGTTGGACTACCAGTGACAAGCCAACACGATTCACAAGAGATCCATATTGGAACCCAACCAACTTCTTATGCCACAGCCACCCTTTTAAATACATGTTACAACTAAATAAGAGCTAATACAATTATTATATACATGTTACACCTAAATAAATGCTAATATAATTATAATATAATTTACGGTATAACAAAACCTATTTATTTGCACTTGTTATACAAACTGAAATATTTTTGCTATGTTGTTTATATATTGATAATAATTTATATTTTTTTGTTTATTTGTATCATGGATGTTACTTAAAGATTAATAGACAACCTTTGATAAAATGTAATACATATAATATTCTAGACATATTAACTAAATTGTACTAAAACACTTTGATATATACAATTTTTTTGTAACTTTACACAACCTATATATTTAAAGGTTAAGAATTTACTTACAAAAGAGTAAAGTGAGAAGATTTATTTTAATTTACTTTTATTCGACACATTTTATAAAAAAAAAAAAATTAGTGAGTGTTAAGAAAAAAAATTATATATCACAATTCTTTCTTAATAAGACATTAGTTTGTTTTTTAATAAATAATAAGAGATAAACATAACTGTTATAGCAATTTTTTTTTTTTTTGTTACCGAGTACCCAATCCGAATCGAAAGATTCGTTCCTCAGGTGGATCTCAAGGAAGGTTAGCTTGATATACTTGTGCGATTATTCTAACACAAAAGAGAAAATAAACCGACCGATCACGACCACTTGACCTGCAACCGACCGATCCCCACCCCATCTAGAAGGATCTCACCACCGAGCGGATCGTAAAATCTCTGCAAAAGAGCAATCACGGTCTACTTGTCGAAGCCATTCCCTTCGACCAAAGCCTTGATATTTTATGCCGGGACTTTTAAATTGAAACCCTCTAAAAATAAATTGTCGAGGCTCGAGTGAGATGCAAGACAAAGTGACCGTATTTAACCTCTCATTTGACTTTGTGTAGAGTCTGACCTTCCGTGTTGTCCGGGTCGATTTCGGGGCGCTCGTTGGATGACTTGTTTCTCACTTGCTTCAGGAAGTAACTTTAGGTTGGACAAAGTCGAACCTAATGCCCTGATTTAGACACAGAAAAAATTAGGCTGTGGCAAAAGTGAAGAACAACAAGAAAAAGTAAAAATTCCTCACAATTCACCGGAGGCAATTGACGACCTCACGACAAAAGGTCCACGTGGTACATGAACAATTTGTAATACGACAAGAAAGACCAAACAATGAATACAACACTCGTACTCCCGATGGCCAAGCCTTTTACTAGGCCTTGCCAGATTCACGGTCCCGTGAAGAGCACAAGAATATGAAACCTCGCCTTGCTTTCGCCCACAAACAAGTCCATGATATTATTAAGGTTTATGCCAGTTGAGCCAAAGACGAGATACTTGAGTCTTTAATAACAAGTCGGGCTTAGTTTCTCGGTACTTTAACTCAATGAATCAGTAATCAAGTTCAAGTTCGACTCGTTTATCAGTTTCAATCTGCCGAACTCGAATTTTAACTAACCAAATTAAAAAAATATATATTTTTTATGCTTAACGAGTCTTATCGAGCCGTGACGACTATTGCTTGACAACTAAATGAGTCTGATTTCAACTCATTTATAAAATCAAACGAGTCGATCCAAACTTACAAGAGATTCGATTAATTTAACAGTTACATAGTTTTAACAAACCAAACTATAAAAAATCAAATAAAAATTTTACCTTTTTGATGCTTAAGGAGTCTAATCGAGCCATATGAACCATAGCTTGTTAACAAAAACGAGTTCGATTTAAGCTCATTTATCAAACGAGTCGATTGCGAGCAACTAGTTTCATTTCACAATTACATAAGCTGGACAAAAAGGAACACTATGCACAACCTCACACGTTTCAAAACATTTCGAAACACTCGAGCTTCCACTGAGCGCGCTCCATGGCGGGAAGCAATTCACAGAAGCCGCTCCTCACCCTCATTCGCGATTTCTCCTCCGAAAAATCTCAAGGAGGTAAAATCAAACCTCTCATTTTAAGCCGTGACTATGTATTTATTCGTACAATTCAGGGATATTTCGTACATTTGTTGTGTAATTCAAGGAGACGAACTCTTTTTTTTTTATTTATTTTTTATGTATTTGTTGTTGCAGAGAGACGAATCGTGAATCAGAAGAAGCGAATCGAGGAGCTAAGATCCGATCTGGATGCATCGAGTGCGGAGCTAGAGGACGCGAAGCGCCGTAAGGAGACGACTGAGCAACTGCTCAAAGGCTTTGAAGTTGAATTATCCATGAACGACGCTTCCATTCAGGCGCTAGAGGTTCTTATTTGTACAGTATTTGGTTTTCTTTTGTGCTCTAATGGCGTTTTGTTTGATGGAGATCCAATTATTTGTTCATTTTCCAGTACTCTCTCGTACATTTGTTGTATTATAATATATAATTCGCTGTTGTGAGTGCTCTGAAGGAAAGGTATTCGCCGTTTCCTTGTTATTTTTGTAATTGTTTTGATTTCTCAACGTGATTGCTTGTGTTTGGTTCAGGCAAGGATTTCTGTGACGAACAGTGAGATATCGAGACTGGGGGCTGAATTGGCGGCTCTCAAGGTAAATTACTTGCTCACCAATTGCTCGTTTCATATGTAGAGCTGATGGACTTATACATTCCTATTTCATGTGTTTTTTACTTTGGTTTCGTGAACTGTGTTTTAAATGCTGGGAAGAGTGAAGAGAGTTCCGCACGGTAAGCATATGCTTGTATATACATGTAAACATATATTTTGGTCTACAGTATATTTCACTAATAACAACTGTCGATGTAGAGATCTTACTTGCATTGAAATATGTGAATGCTGCTGTTGTTTTTGGCAGAGATGAATTTATTGGAAGAATGCTTGAGCTGAATGCAGAGATAAGGTAGATCTACTTTGCTTTAAGAAATTGTAGTCTATTGCTTCCTTTTGCTTTGAAACATTTGGAATCTTATGGCGTGCATTATATTTTGACAGAAATTCTTAATGTAAATTATGCCAGAGGTTTCTCCTTTTCAAAGTATTAATGAGCATGTCATGTTTTATTTATCGTTAGTCCAATATGGTGTTAAATTGGATAATGTGATATAGAATACAAGATTGTGAACTACTAATCTAGTTATGGATGGCCTATCTAGCTTTGGTGTAAGCTATTGAATTGTTTTGTGATCCTCTGTATTCGAAATATGCCTCTATATGGGTTGCAGGAAATTTCAGGAGTTGCTATCCTCCCCTCCCAATGTGGTGGATTTCTCTAATGCACCTTTGATTTGTGGTATGTATTAAGTTTGCATGACTAAGAGGTATTCCGTTTCTATACTTGATTGCTTGTGTAAAAGGAATTATAATCAATAGTTTGATGTGGAATAAGAAAGTAATCCTGGATATAAATGATAAGTTTATTAAGGCTGTATTTTCTTCTTTTTGAGACAAGTGATTGAAGGGGGTGCTTAGTTCTCATCGTTTATTGGAGGTAATTGGTGATTACGTATTCTTGTACTCATCTGAGTGAGGTTCCTTAACTGCAGATCAAGATGATCAACAAGTCGGAGTGGTTCCACAGAATAAACTTGCTGAAATAATCTTGCTTACTGACAAGGGAGAAGAACAATATAAAGCTGATCAAGTGTTTCATGGCCAGGTAAGGAGTTTCTTTTGTACTAAACAAGCGTGATGAAGTGTTTTCAGATGGCCATCTTTGATGCCTGACTAAATGTTGAGAACCATGTATTATCAGTGAACTTCCTGGATTGTGAGTGTGCTGTAAGTATGTGAATTTTAAGTTGGGGAATAAATTGGACTTACTTTTGGAGCTTGTGCAGATCCTACAGGAGCTTGCTAATTTGGAAAAGAAAGCACCGCTGTTGGAGTCTGTGATGAAAGAAAGCCAGGAACTAAAGGAGATGAATAAATATCCTTAATTATTTTGTGTTCTCTATCGTTTCCTGATATCTTATTTCGGATCAGGATAATTTTCTCAGAAAGATGAGGTGAAACTTGTTCTGTTGCTGTATAGTTGACACCTCAACACCTGGAGTCTCTCTCTTGCTCATTCAAACCTCTTAAACTTTGCCCACTGATTACTGTGTTTCAGTTGGGCATGAATCGACTTAACTTAATAAAGATCCTTGCAGACTGAATGAAAAACGGTGAAGATAAGCCATCTATCTTCCTTCTAAACGACAGAATCCAGATATAACCATGAATTTCACAATTTATCATTTTTCATTTTTGTTTGCTAAATTGCATTCCTCATCATTTCTTATCATTTTGATTGGAATCAACCACTATATAGTATTTTTATCATTTTGATTGGAATCAACCATTATATAGCCCGTATAGGAAAAAGGGAAAAACAGAAGAGTAAGAAATAATCATCCATCAACAGTTTTGTGACTATTTTGGCTTCAAACTTCTGTAACCTTTGTTGCCTGGATTAATCTATTAGTGAAACAAGGTGATTCCAGATTTTCCTTTCTTCTCCTTTACTGTTAAAACGTAAAACACTTTCTTTTTGCTAGAATCTTATTGTGACTTGGATGATATCGCCTAACACTTCCATGCCACAGTGAATATTTCTACATTAGGATGATGTTTGCTATGTCCCTTTATGATGTCATGCCTTGACTTGACACAAGCTGACTTCAGAACTTGAAGGAAAGTTTGCTGCTCTTGGTGATGAACTGCAGAAGAGGGTTTTATGTCCCCACTGTCATCAAGATAACTCAGAGTTACTTGGCGAAATCTTTCAGATAAGTGATGGAAGTTAACATCCTCCTCCAGTAAGTAATTTTCTTGAGTCACATTATAACTCCGCGATCTCTGTGTGGCCACTAAATGCGAACAAAGGAAACTAAGTACTCAAATTGTTCACATACCAAATCATTCACATCCATACTGTCGTAGCTATGAGAAATCCCGTATCATACCGAGACTTAATATTTCATACTTGTATTTTATGGATATTGATGCACAGAGCATTTTTGGCCCCCATATATTCAAAATATTACGGCTATGATTGGATACCCAAATTCTTCAACACAGCATTTCCATTCACCTCATTTCTTATTTTATTTTCATCTCATGTTCAATTGCATTCTTAAAATTCATAATAGCTGCCATGAGAACTCCGTATCAAAAATTTATCAAGGGAAAGGATGTACAAGTATCTATTGACCCTAACTTTTGAGTTATCTTTTTCTTAGATCCAGCCATTAGATAAATCCTACAATCTTCTTTCAACAAACACCAAGCTTTCCTTTCTCTTTTTCGCATCATCATATGCTTGCTGTTCAATTTTCTGCTTTGGTGGTGAGGGGATGGGTAGTCCCTGGTGAAGCTTTTCAGTAGCAATACTTAAATAGAGTCAATCGCTTTTATTCTTGTGTCTACGAGATAATCAGTTCCTCATATTGGTCAGTGTAGCTTACTTGCCATTCACTATAAACAACTCAAAGTTGATGTAAGTTCTTCACTCTTCATTAACTATTTAGTTTCTTTTCTGCAAAATTTACATAAGAAAATCAAGGATTATCTCTTGGATTTCATTTCATGGAAATTTTCTCTTCGGAGCAAACGTACAGAGTTTTTCTGTTAAACTGTGAGAACTTACAATTTTTGTTGGATTTATCGGGACTCGGGGCATCTCTGTGTTTGCACTTTTTTGCTACAATATGAGTCGAGAAAAGTGCCGACACAGGTCGGTGATCAGAAAATTTGCTTTCGCTTCGAAAATAAGATAGTTGCCTCACTCCTTTGCCGTACCACAGTATCCTATCACACCTGCAATTAGAAACCATTACCACCTTATCATCATCCTAAGACAATATTCCAAATTTTTTTTTTTTTTTTTTTCTCTTAAGGGAAAGCCCGTTCATAGTTCACCCACTTGATAGAAATATACAGTTACACACTTTGATAAGTTAGTTAAGTACATGAATATGCTGTGCAAAGATTTTGTCACCAATATGGGTTAATATAGCTAACAAATATATATAATAAAAAAAAAATCATGATGATAGAAAATTTACCATGCTGGAGTCCTCTGCTTCTCTCCCGCTCTACAAGGGATTCCACCCGAGTACCTGTTGCAGTTATAGGCAGAATACTTATATGTAGGAGCAAATTCAATTTTTCCTTCCTTCCATCCCTGGAATACACCTCCGTGTTCGAGTTCCCTTCTCAACTGGTCAAATTTCCGCAAAGCTTCCCAATCTTGTTCTTTTATCAACTGCCTTGCCAAGTTGTCTTCTAGATATAATCTGTAGTTCAAATCTCCGAACCAAAATATCCGGCTGTCGTACACAAGAATTAATAATTATTAACTACATCAGAAATGTCAAATATCACATAATACATCCCACTTTTTTTTTTTTTTTTTAAAAAAAATTCTCAAAGGAGAACTTATCACTTACTCATGTCCTAAGATGGATAGTGGCTGAAGCTTGCCCGTGCCGCCACCTTCAGATAGCCGTGGGAAAAATGTTCTCCTAAAAATCTTTGAGACTTGGCAGTTCCTTCTTCCTTCATCGCCTTTCTTCTCGCCTGAGGCTAAATGTGCAGCTATGAAGCAAAAACTAGTTCCACCAACAGATAAGCTAACAGAAACCGATCCTTTGTTTCCCAAATAACCCATTATGCCACAGGCCACCGAACACACTTGAACGTGTGTGACTTCGTGTCGTTCGAGCAGTTCTCTTCTTATCCAAACACTTATAAACACACCAACCATCTTTTTGCTTGCCATTAGTTTGTATCTATGCTGATCTTTTGAAATTTGTTTGCTCGGGACTCGATTATATTGGTAGTTCTCGTTAGTGACAGGATGTACGGTAGGTGTCAGCCATGGACATCCGTATTTGTCGTTGAGCGTTTTCCCTATTAGTAAGTTCCAGTTCGTAGCTTCGGTTTGGTCCTCTGCTCCAATTACAGTTGCTGTCTTTAACGGGACAATTTCTTGGAAGCTGTTGGATTAAATTAAACTTATTACACACACACACACAAAAAAAAAAAAAAGGAAAAAAAGAAAGGCCTTAGCCTTTCGGGCAGGAAAACGATACCCAATAACATAGATATCGGCTGTGTCATTTGGGTTCAGCCATTCGGCTAAGTCCACATCTAAGCTCCCGACAGGAGACCTTCCCGCCACATTCCAAGTACCCACAAAAATTCTGAAAACATTTAAAGAAAGAAATAAAAAATGAAAAATTATATATCCTCATCCTCAAGGATCTCAACAAAAGACAACAAGTAAAGTTTAACCTCATTTTATTTTAGCACTGTTTTTCATCGAGTCTAACCTCAATTCCTCGCTTATAACTCCTGGAGACATCTCCAATGACCCGATCGAGAAATCATTCTTATTTCTGCCATCATCTGTTCTCACTTCTCACATACATTGGAGCATGAAAACACAGCACATAAGCAAAGCACTATGTAAACATACATATATAGTAATCTTAGTACTCTACCTGAAGTTTCACTCCGTCGAAATAAATCGGCTCTCTTTTGCTTCCCCAAAAACCAGCTTTCAAACCTTTTAGCTTTCAAGGTCCGGCACTTCCTTTCCATGGCGGCAAGAAAAAATGGGAAAGATCGTAGCCCAATCACACACAGATATGAAGCTTAGAAAAGATACTCGTTCAAATAAACATGGCTTGCATGATAAAAACAAGTAGCATATTTGTTTGCTGCTGTTTTTTTAATGCACATAAAGATCGGGCTTTTTGCTGTGAGAGAATATTGTACTGTTTGCCTGCAAAAAGAAGCCCAAAGAGACAAAAATTAGAAGCCTTTAACTACCTGTGGCCGAGGGGGTTATCCAGAGAGAGAGAGAGAGAGAGAGAGAGAGAGAGAGAGAGAGAGAGAGAGAGAGAGAGAGAGAGAGAGAGCATTAAATTAAAAGGTCAAACGTGGCATTTTTTGGTAAAATTTAGGTGAACTGAGATTAGCCAATCAGGACCTCACATGGTTCTTGCATCGGTTGAATATGGGAGTTTGCTTATACGAGCGGGAAGATTCTACGGTCCCCGTTATGGAACTACTTCGTTAGGATTTTTAACTGTTAAATCAACCATCTACGATGGTTAGATAATGATCTAACGGTTACAAATTTTGACGGAATGATTCCGTAACGGGACGATAACATTATATGAGTGTTGTTTTCTTTTCACAAGTGTACGGTGCACGGAAACTATTTTGGTTAATCATTTTAATTTTTAAATAGTGATATTTAGTATTTGTTTTTCGGGAAAATTGCTTGATTTTAACAATACGTATATTAAGTTATGAGTTTTAATACTTCCCTAATAAAAAACTCTATACTTTTATAAAATTTTCAATTAAAGATTTACATTTGTGTTTTAATTTTCACTGTAGGGCGTCTACTAATTTTTTATATTAACATAAATATGTTAAGCAAAATAATTTTTTAAGTCCTTTTCTCTTGGGCTCTAGACTAGACGTCTTCCTATTGAAAACATGAGTATTTCTCTAATTTCATAGTAATTTTTTTTTTTTCCAAAATATATTCATATATAATTAATGTCTTTAAATACTTGATCAACATTCTTATCTATGTATTAAAAATTTCACCACTCGATTAATTTTATCCTACGCCAAGATACGCGTATCTTTTGACAGAATAATTTTGCATATAGAATATTGAAATCCAGAGCACTCTTGGCTTCAACTCCATCTACCCAACTAAGAAATTCTGTATTAAAATTGTATATATATATATATATAATACACATCACAGTACATGGTAGATGATTTAAATTTCAACCAACCAAAATGCCAATGATTTAAAGTTGAACACACATATGCGTTTGACCAAATACCTGGATGGTTTAAAATTGAGCTCATAAAAAATTATTTAAATTTGAACACACCAGAAATTTTATGTATTTTTTATTTATAAAATATATTGAAAGTAATATTTAATGGTTGCTATGTAAACTATTTTAATATATATGCAATGAATAAAAGTTTGAATGAATAATTTGTAATGCTAGTCATAATGTTTGTGACTTATGAGATAATAACATTATTAGTTTTTAGACTTAAACGGACAAGAATGTGAAAATAACTCATTTAATATCTTTGTTCCGTACATAGCACGAGATACATACTAGTAATAATGAATAGACATGCATCAAACTTTTGTACATTATGCTTGTACACAACGAAATATTTAAGGTGTACACAACGAAATATTTAAGGTGGACCATATGTATGTATATATATTAACTACATAATCAACTGTGTGTCGTTAGTCGTGCATCCGTGTCCATATTAATTTAATGAAGCACATGTCCATTTCTTCACAAGTTGATAGAATACAAAATGGGGATAATAAAAATAATACACGCACGTACCAAATTTGCAAGTATAAGTAAAATAAAATACACACAATATATAATACTCCCTCCTATTTTTATTATTTGTCACTTTGACTTAATGGATTATTGAATAAATAAATATCGTTTTGTTATTTTGTTCATATTTTTTCATTTTTAACCTTCCACCAATGCATAGTGTCTCTTCATATCTCATCTCCATAATTTCCATAACATTCATTAAATAGAGTTAATATTGACAAGAAAAAAAATTCTTAATTAGCGTGGTGTTTCTCAAAACGACAAATAATAAAAATAGGAGGGAGTATATGATAACGATTTCGTATGCGTGGATACAAGATTTCTAAAAAAAGTCCAATCATGGTAAATGAATTAATTTTTTTTAACTTAAATCAAACTCAACTTTAATTTGTCTCACAATCCATAATATTATCAGTATAATTATATAATATCAATTAATTATTCTTACATATTATATTAACTTTAACAGTTTTGCTATGGAGCCAACAGTTGGCTCTACAGTAGAGCCAACTTTCTATATACAACAATTAAACCTACCATATTATCTGATTACTTATGTAATATTAATATAATTTTATTAATATAGTAGGTTTATTTGTTGTATAGAGAAAGTTGGCTGTACTATAGAGCCAACTGTTGATTTCATAAAGTTGGCTGTACTATGAAGTCAACTGTTGGTTTTATAGCAAAATCGTATTGCTAAATATATATATATGCATCAATTGTTACGAAAGCTTTATTAATTCTGTTAGTAAAAGAAAGACTTGATGAACATGTAGTGATTAAGATCATGTGATTTAAAAAAAAAAAAAAAAAAA